AACAGTACGAAATCACTTCAGAAAGTACTGAATCACTTAAGTAAAGCTTGAACTCACTTTGGAAAGTACATAATCACTTCAGAAACGTTTTCAATCACTTTGGAAAGTACTCACAAGCTTCAGGAGTGTTTTGAATCACTTCAAAAAGCTCTGAATCACTTCGGAATGTACTGTATCACTTTAGAAATTATCGGAATCACTTAGGAGAGCACTGAATCACTTCGGAAGAGTTAGGAACTACTTTGGAAAGTACTGAAAGGCTTCAGAAAATTTTGAATTCATTCCAGAATAGTTTGTAATCACTTTCGCAAGAACTAAATCACTTCGAAAAGAACTGAATCGTTTATGAAAAGTTTGGAATCACTTCTCAAAGTATTGAATATCTTCAGAAATGTTTGGAATTTTGGATAAATTTTCAAAAGCGTAGGTCACTCAGATTATGAGCAGTAGACTGATGCAAAATTTGAAATTTTCACTCCACAGTGCTCAAACGGTTTCAAATTGGACCCTGATTAGCCTCCAAAAATTTGAACTCATTTAGTGATAAACTGACTTGGCACAAACCATTTGAAATTTATATAGGAATTACTATGAAGAAACCATAATTTCGCTTCATATCTATCTCAGAATTCACCAGTTTACTCTGCTTTAGAAAATGATAGCTGAGCTTTTTGAAAATTTTCTCAGCTACAACTTTGTTGAAGACCACTTTTCGATCAAATGTAAGGAACAAAAATTATTAATGATTCAAGTCACTGATGTCTTATGATTATGCTCAATCAACTGTTCAGCAGGCAACATTGGTGTTTATGGCGCGTAGAATAGAGGGCAAAAATCATGGCTACTATGTGAGACTGCAGAATACAGTGTTGCCCACAATACAGTTGCTTAATCTTGCCATAAGATTATCAATCTCTTAAACAATTAATAACTATTTAATTTGACATTTGGCTGAAAAACGATTTTCTGCAAAGTTGTAGCTGATAAAACAGAAGAACAGCGATAGAATTAGTTTACAGTACAATATGTAAAAAGGCTAGAAGACAATGATCAAAAAGTTTTGTTTTCCCATAGGAATTTCCATATAAACTTCAAATGGTTTGTGCCAAGTCAGTTTCTTATCAAATTAGTTTAAACTTTCGGAGGCTAATCAGGACCTGATTTGAAACCGTTTGAACACTGTGGAGCAAAAATTTCAAATTTTGCATCAGTCTAATGAGTAGCCTACACTTTTAGAAATTTATCCACACGAATGAGTATAAGTGACTCACATTCTGAGTGAGGTTCGTTTTCAGTGCAAAACCGTTTCCCAGATCTCACATATCTAAGACATAGAGATCTACAACCCTAGAGATCTATAACATAAATATCGTTAGTGATGTCCGATTACAACTCGATTAATCGAGCTAACCGATTATCTGCTAAAATAATCGATTAATTTTTAATAGATTATTCAATGCCACGATTATCTGCTAATAGATCAATAGGCTTTGATTATTGCACGATTCTTTAAGTTTTCATTGGAGTAGGAGTGTAATTTATTTTAGTGTATATGGGTGGTAAACCAGCCAACAAAGCATCGATTAAACTATGTTCCATCTAGAGATGGGCAACATAGCTCATCTGGCTGAGCGGATCAGACGCGTCCATCTCATTAAAGGGAGTCGATTCTTTCGAATAGCTCTTTAGCTCACCTTGAAATTATAGACATTTTGACACAAATTCAAAATCAGAAAAGAAATACGGGATTTTAGTGAGCATAAACCAATAGAGCTACTGAACACCTGAACAACCGTAAACCAAAATGTGCCAAAAACATATCAGCAAATGCAAAAAATGTATGCGATAGAGCTACACGGAGAACCAAAACTACTCAACGGTTAAGTTCTTTAAACTTATTTTTGAGTTGATGCCACTCACTTGCTTTCTTGTTGCTGTCAAAAACGTAAAGAAAGAGCAAAACAACCCAAAATTGAGTTCTATTCACCCAACTTGACAGTTCCGTGCGCCAAGTTAAAATTGAGTAAGTTGTGTAAAACTGAATTTTGAGTAGTTTGAACTTGACGTTGAGTGAAAACAACTTAAAAGTAAGTAATCCTGTTTACATGCGAGTGAATGACAACAACTCAAAATTGAGTAGGTGCTATAACTCTAAATTGAGTTGGCGCACGGAACTGACAACCTGGGTGAAATGAACCCAAAATTTGATTCTTTTTCTTTCCGTGTATGTCACACGCGATGATATGATCAATATCGTGTCATACCCCGTACAGACTATGGCTTATAGTCTTGCAATAAGCACTCATATATAGGATTTCCAGTGAAAACTAAATGCGTGAGTACTCATTGCAAGACAGCCTAAATTACATGATATAAGCCATATTACACGATGTTACGCCTTTTCTCAAGCTATGCAATCCAGTCTACATAGAGATTTTAGTTCTGATGATGGCTTCAGCTCCAGATCATCAGCTCAGATCTAGAGATGGGCTCCCAAGCTGTTCTATAGACCCGATTCATTAAAGTCAGCTGATGACCCGTGGTTCATTTTTAGGAACCGCAACTCATCAGATCACTGATATCATAAGTCTAATGATGTATTGAGATCTGAGCGTGCATTAGTGAAGATGAGCAGAATTTGCGTTGGAATGAGAGAGACAACTAGTACTTCTCTCCCTCTCGTACATTCGTAAAATATCGCCCCGTGCGTGAAATATCGCTCAGGACGGAATCCACCTTGATTCTCCAACACAATTGCTCCCACTATTCTCAGTTTCAGCTCCAGATCATCAGCTCAGATCCGGATCTGGAGCTGAATCGTGAAGAATCGAGAGAAAAAGGATCCGAAGAGCTGGACGGGTCTGAGAGCTGTCATGTCAGTGAATCAATCGAGCCGATGATTCAGATCCGAAGCTGAGCTGATAAGCTGGAGAGAATGATGGGAGGAGAGGTATAGTATTGGATAGTATTTGTAGTAGTAGAAATTTAAGATCGTGTAATCGTAGGCACATGTTGAATTACGCGGGCATCTTGGTTTACGCGGTGACTGTTCAATGCGTAAAAGAGCAATGCGTGATTTTTTGAAAAATTCCGCTATAAGTGACGGATTGATGAGCTGCGGTTTCTAAAAAAATGAACAGCGGGTCATCAGCTCACTTTAGTGAATCGGGTCTTTAGAACAGCTCGGGAGCGGATCGCCCATCTCTAATTCCATCCCAACTTGAAGGGCCTGGTTTCAATCCCAGTCGGTGCCACCGGAATTTTCTGAGGCATAACATCTTTGATCATGCCTTCATTCGGAAGGGAAGTAAAGCCGTTGGTCCCCGGTCTATGAGTTGATGGGTCGATAGGTAGGGTCCAGGTGTGGGAGCTGCCTCCCTGGCGTCAGTAGCATTGGTACTCAGCACGAAAAACAAGACATTTTACACGAAAGAACCTGATACTTTTATGGTTTGATTTAGGTGATCAGCATTTGTACAGTTCATGTATTCTTCTGTGTTCATGCTGATCAAGTTCTCCAGTTTGAAATAAAGTTTCATCCTCGTCTTGAGTTATCAAAGCCTGCTTAACTGTGTCTCTAAAGTGACGCTAAAGGGTTTATGAATCGCTCGTGAAACATTTCTTGGCCTCTTCCATTTTACGTATAGGATCTTGAAAGTTATGCAACTGTTCCGAAAGATGCAGGTAATTTTCCATAATGCTTCGCTCTCCTTCAATAAACCGTGTTAGGGTTCCGGAGTTATTTTAGAACAGTTCTTATGGTGTGAAGCAATGTGTTTGAACATAGCTAATCTGAAACCATGAATCGGAATTTATAAATGTATTCAAATGGTTCTTTGTGTTTGCTTCGATTCTCTATAAAATCATGGGTGAGACATTGCCTTGAGGACATGGCTCACCCACTTCTAGTGCTTCTGGACATACGTCATGGTGACCAGTACATCTCGATTAGCAATTTCCCGGGTTTTCCGGAATTTTTGAAGTTTTCCCGGTGGTGCTTAATACATTTAAATTAAACATAAATCCAATGATTGTGTCGTAAAGAACACTCAGTGTCATTACTACGACAGCAGACTTTGACGTAGGATTACATCTTTCGGCAACATATTGGGGGTACAATTTCAAAAATCCAAAATCGACTGCGTTACGAAAAGTGGTCAGATTTTGACCACTTATAGCTCCTTTAATAGTGGATGGATTTTAATTCTAAACAAGCCAATCGATTGGATTTTTTTTTACAAATCTGATTAAATAAACACTTTATTAATTTTTAATAGGTCACTATTGAAAATTACACAAATGTTCAACTGCTGCAATGGTGATCAAAATTATCACTGATTGCCTGCAAAAAAAGGGGTTTCCCTAACACAGTTGCCAAATATTGATATCGAGCACGTAATCCTACGTCAAATCTACGGTCGTGTCTTGGATACAACCTCTTACTTTTTTTTCCGGATTTTAAATTTAGTAATTTTTACATTCCAGAAAATGTTACTCTTGGTTTTCTTTTTCAAGCAGAGAGGTGATAGCTCCATTAATTAAAATTATCGTCTTTAATCGCCCATTAACTAGTATAACGTGCATAGCAGATTAAAACCTAGTACACAAATCCACAAATATAAAATCAACGAATAATTCAACGAAGCACAATTAAACGATCGTTAATCAATTCATTAACGGTTCTCATATTTAACGGGACACATTAATTCGTTAGCATATAATGAAAGATTTAACGTAAATGTGCCCACCACTACTTTACTGTCATCAAATTGATGAAACAATTCAAATTTATTTTAAATCATGTGTTATCTGAAAAAATTCGAAAAACAAATTTTTGAGTAACTTAATCTTTCACTTCAAATATTTGAGTAATCGATCGAAAATATATTCAAAAACCTTTCTCTACTGCAAAGTTGATTTCAAGGCAAAACAAAACACGTTTTCACCTTTAAAAAAAAAAACCATAATGCCCCCTCGAAAACAAACCCAATCAAACCTACCTTCGGAAGCATCCTGCGCACTTGCCAGAACTCCCAGCAGTACCAGCAGGAGCTGGTAGATGTGCTTACGACGTGTCATTGCTAGCACGGTAATCCACTTTCGTATTCAGCGTACAACTTTCTCGCACTTCCAGCAGTTGTCCAGTGTCCTTATTCTTTTTCTTCTTCTTCTTCCCCAAAATGAACGACAACGTCAGTCCAGCCCAAAAATATCCTGCGCGAACGAAAATCTCTTATCGTCGGGTTCGTCGCTTATCGGCGGGAAAAACTTGTCACCTCACTTTGCTTCTTCTTCTATCCTTTACAATTTGAAACTTGTCGTCACCAATTTCACATTTTTCCTCACGTTTGCCCGCAATTGTATTTGTTTCCAACTATCCAAACAAGGTGTTGCCACAGTAACACTGTTTCTTTGGTGCTCTCTCGCTTTCTTCTTACGAGCCAAACAAAAAAAAAAACGTGTTAGCACGCTCTTCAAAACCACCCGACTTTGTCACTTTCCAATGATCAAACAATTTTTTTTCCTGCGCTTCCACTCGATCTCACACACCGTTTCCCGTCTCGGCGGACTTGCTAATCCAATTTGGTGACCACTCTCACTTGTCTCACACTGTTGCTGTTTTGTGCGCGAGCGTGCGCGCCTACATCCGGTTTCTGCACACTGAACTCCGCACCGATATTGATGTCACCACAGCCGCGAAGGACGACCTCGACTGGTTCGAGGCGAGGGATGGGTGGGAATGAAGGGGGGCGGGTTGGCGAACGAGTCCGTTAGTTAAGCCCTGTACTCTGGCACACTCTGCGGGCTGGTTTCGTTCAAGCTACCGTTTCTCCTTGCGGGACCGGTGCACAGTTTTCACTTGACGTCGTTGTAGTCGTTTCCGAATTCCTTTTGGGGGGAAGAGCAAGAGAAACGTCTTGCTCGTACCGCGGTCACTGTTGAACTGTTTGTAGGAAAGCCCCCAACGGTCCACAAAACGGACCCCAAAAAGTGGCGACTACTGCTAGCTAGCACACGAACAGCTGCTACCTGCTACCTATGCTCTCTTTCTCCGCGTGGTTCGATGCAAAAAAAAACATTCCTCCAGTTCCGAGAAAAAAAAAATAGAGACAAGACGGCAGACTTTCTTCCGAGCAGCGAGCGAACCCGTTGGTTGAATTTCTTCTTTCTTCGGCCCACCGACCGACGAGAAGGGAACCTCGTGTGCAATCGGTGAAGCGTGCGCCGCTCTCAACTCTCAATTCCTCTCCCACTTGGAAAAGCTTTGCTCAGTCGGCCGTTGGAATCGGAGCTTATGCGAAACCGTCCGTCATACCCTTTTTCGACGGAGAGGATCGGTTCGGAAGTTTTAAAAAACCCCACGACGGCGGAGAGAGCGAACCGAAGACAGAAATCCTCGTCGATTCGTCACGGATAGCAGGTTGAAATTGTGTCAAATTTTTGTTATTTTTTTTTTTAATTTTTGAGTCACCGTCGGTCGTCGCGCAGAAGTGCCGCGTCACACGGTGGATGGACCCCTCCTTTTCTTGAATTTTCATTTTTTCGCATGGGTGGATGGATGGATGGTGACACGCGGTGGTGTGTGCGGTTAAGGCTGCTTGGGGTGATGAGTTGAAGCAGGTTCGTCGTTTGGTGCCGTTGATGTTGCGTTGGAAAAAAATGGAAATGTTTATGAATCGGTCGGTACACTCAACATTTGTCGGAACTGAAAAATCTAGTACATATGCGCTGTAAAAGTAGTAGTAGTAAAATTATGTTTATTTCTGTTGATTATGGTAGTACATTGATTTATCATTTTAATTGATTAGCCTACTTGGCTGTTCATCTTTGTTTAATTTGATTTTCTTATTTAATATTTGCGTTTTTCAACTAGTTTACAGAATATCCCTTTGGGGATGTGTTTTATTTGAATTGAAAAAAAGTGATAACCTACCTAACTACGAGTATAACTTAACCTAACGTGCTAGATCACGTATGATCTGGTGATTTGATCTCAGACAGGTGTCTCTGAACCTTTCCAGGATGAATACTCTTCGTTCTTCTAATGTCTGAATTCCAGCCAGGAGGTGGATCTCAGAATTTCTAGTCCGCGGGGGACTGTTTAGGACCATCCGAAGAATCTTGTTCTGGATCCTTTGGAGTTTAAGGTGATGGCATTTTGCGCAACTCTCCCAGATTGGCATACCGTACTCGATTACAGGAAGGATGATTTGTTTGTAGACAGCAAGCTTATTTTTCAGGGACATGGTTGACTTCCTGTTGATAAGTGGATACAACGATCTTATCAAGATGTTGCACTTGGTTTTTGTTTTGTCAACGTGCTCCCTGAAAGGAAATTTGCTGTCTAGTGTTAGCCCGAGGTACACGACCTCTTTGGACCATTCCATTACTGTGCCGTTCAGGCAGATCTTGTTATTCTCCGACGGAACAAGTCTAGGAGATTTAGAGTGTGGAAAGATAATGACCTGGGTCTTTGCCGCGTTGATACGGATCTTCCAGCTGTTGAAATATTCAGACAGGACGTCCAGACCACTCTGAAGTTTGGCAGTCAGAGCTCCGATGACCCTACCCTTGTAGACGATGGATGTGTCATCTGCGAACAGAGATAACGATCCACCATCAGGGAGAGCCGGCATATCGGAGGTGAACAGGTTGAATAGGATGGGGCCAAGGATGCTTCCTTGTGGAACCCCGGCACCGATGTTGAAAGCATCCGATGTGATGCCATTCAGAGAGACTCGGAACGTCCTGTCTGATAGATATTTGTTTATGATCTTCACTAGGAAGATTGGAAGACCGTACTGCTGCAATTTGAACACCAGGCCACCATGACAGACATTGTCGAACGCTTCTTCAACGTCCAACAACGCCATGGTAGATGTTTTCGAAACAGACTTGTTCCGTCTGAGAATGTTTGTTGCTCGAGTCAGCTGGTGGACGGTCGAACGACCTTTCCGAAAACCAAACTGTTCCTCGAGTAACGGGTTGTTTTCTTCGGCACATGTTAGGAGCCGGTGATTGAGTGCTCTTTCGAACAGTTTTGATAACCCTGAGAGAAGGCTGATTGGTCGATAATTTGAAGGAGAGGACGGATCCTTCCCAGGTTTCCGGATGGGTATGACTTTAGCTGACTTCCAACACGATGGGAAGTAGCCCAGTCTGAGGCACTGATTAAAAATCAGTGCCAGATGGTTGTAAAATCTGGAACTCAAGTGTTTGAGTTCCAGATTCAGGATGTTTTCGAAACCTGGGGCCTTCTTGTTTTTACATGATTTGATATAGGCCAACAGTTCGTCAGCCGTAATCTCGGATTCCTCTGGAAAAATGTTAGGAATCTGAAGAAGATTGGTTGCATTTTCAGCAACCTCAGATTCATGAGGGCTGACGATGTTTTGTCCGAGATTATGGGAGCTGACGAAGTGTTGACCTATCGCGGCAGCCTTCTCTTCAGGAGTTATCAGATGAACCACTGGGTCGCCGGGACGATCCAGTGGGGTCAGTGGTGGAATGGGCCTAGGCTTGTTTTTAAGAATTTTTGTAAGTTTCCAGAAGGGCTTAGTACAATCTGGGAGAGAGCGGATCTTACTAGCAAAATCGTTATTTCTGTGATCCACCATCCTGGCCTGAATGATCTTTGTTAATCGATTACAATTGGTCTTCAAGTTAGGCAGGCCAGTACGCTGGTACTGCCTACGAATGGTGTTACGGAGTCTAATGAGATCTTTGGTAGGGCTGTCAAGGTTCAGAGTGTTACTCACCTGTCTGGATACTGGCACGTGTTGTTCCCTCGCCCGGGAAATCGCCTCCTCGATGGTTTGTAGACACCGGTCAACATCTTCCGACGTCCCCGGTTGGACTGGATATTGCGCCCAGTTGACTCGATGGTAGTTGCGCCGGGAAGCTTCGAATCGGTTTACCGAGGATCCAACTTCGGCCACCACCGGATAGTGGTCCGAGCTCAGCTCCTGGAATGCCACAGGCTGCGAGACGTTGTGTCCCATGTTGCTTACAAAGATGTCGATGGTTGCATGGACCCCAGACCAACTCAACCGGGTGGGAGAGTCCAGGGCCAAGATGGTATAGTGCCCCTCTTGCAGGTCTTCATTGAGGATGATGCCGTTTATATTGCTCCGACCGTTGCCCCAAGCTTGATGTTTTGCGTTCAGATCGCCAGCGATGATAAAGTTCCCGCTCCTCCGGGTGAGTTTGATGATGTCTTTGCGGAGGGCCACTGACGACTCACCTCCACTCCGATGGCTTCAATTGTTTTCAGCTGGAAGTTTGGTAGCAGCCGGCAACTGATGTTCCGTCTTGCAGCGATGGCCACTCCTCCACCTCCAGAGCAGGTGCGATCAAGTCTGACGAGCCGGAAGTCGGGAAGGAATACGTTCAGTTCAGGCTTCAAATGCGTCTCGGTGATGATAGCAATGTCGACCTCCTTGGTGTTGAGGAAATCGAGTACACTCTAAAAAAACTGAAAAATTACACGAGCTTGAATTGACCTATGATCTAATTTTCTTGTCATGTAATTCGACAAACGAATTTTATGTGCACATAGACGCACTTCAAAAAAATAAAGGTCTACATTTAATAATAAACACATCTAGATGTGAAATAGCGTCTTATGACTGAATATCACATCAACTTCTGAAAAATGTGTCATGTTTTTAAAAAACCTAAAATTACATGACCGAAACTGAAAAGTAAATTTGTGACAGATTTTTATGTCCGAATCGATGTAAAATTACATGATGCCTAACCTCGGTGACAACGCACCTGAAAGCAGTAAGTAAAGCTTCGATCGTCATCGGCAACGCACTCCGCAGTTTTATCGCGTTACGGTACGGTATTGAAAAAAATGAGTGTCCGGTGCAATATATGTGGTTTGGACTGCGCGAATTCCACATTTTATAAAACAACATATCCAGCTGCATAGGAATTCACAAGTCTTTAAGTGCGCGTTCGGATGTGAAGTGATATTTAAGTCATTTGTGGCATATCGACAGCACTTTAGGTAGCGCCATATTGAATGGCAAAGTGAAATTTTATACGAATGTCCGATAATATCCTGTAGTGTCAAAACAAACGATTTTAAATCAATCACTAAGCATGCAATGCACCACATATCCACAGGAGAGCCTATTTTTTGCCCGTTG